AATATGGGATTTTTACAAAAATGACCTAAATTTTGATTTGAATTGCAAATCTAACCCACAAAAATCACCTTCCCAACATTTGCCATTTTGTGTCCAAAGCATCCTTCATAGTTTCAGTTATTTACGAAATTGCCATTATTTTTAATTAATTTCTTTTATTTTTGGAAATTCAAATGACCAATTAATCCTCATCTTCCTCACGTATTTACGAAAATGCTCTGAAAGTAGACTTCTCTCGGTCCGAATGAAGTCTACTAGTCAACGCCCAGGTTAGTTTTGCAATTGACCGCATGAAAAAGTAGACTTCTTTTGGTCCGAATGAAGTCTACTCTATTTCCTTTGATAACAAAAAAATGGAGTAGACTTCTCGAGTAGACTTCTTTAGAAGCAGGTCATTTTTGCAATTGACCAACCTTTGACTTTGTAGAGTAGACTTCTCTATGCAAAGTAGACTTCTCTGAGAAGTCTACTTTCGTAAGTAGACTTCTCGCATGTCATTTTTGCAATAGAAAAATATTTGACTTTTTGGTCAATTGCAAAAATGACCTGCGAGAAGTCTACTTACGGAAGTAGACTTCTCAGAGAAGTCTACTTTTCAGAGTAGACTTCCCGGAGAAGTCTACTTTCACAAGTAGACTTCTCGCAGGTCATTTTTGCAATTGACCAAAAAGTCAAATATTTTTCAATTACAAAAATGACCTGTGAGAAGTCTACTTACGGAAGTAGACTTCTCGGAGAAGTCTACTTTTCAGAGTAGACTTCTCGCAGGTCATTTTTGTAATTAACCAAAAAGTTAAATATTTTGCAATTGCAAAAATGACCTGCGAGAAGTCTACTTACGAAAGTAGACATCTCTGAGAAGTCTACTTTTCATAGAGAAGTCTACTAATATTTTGGCAATTGCAAAACTAACCTGCGAGAAGTCTACTTTTATCCGAGAAGTCTACTTTTCTTGTTTTTTTAAAAAAATCATTTTTATACAATATATAACGAATTTTTAAGATTTTTGTGATCCTAAGCTTTTGTTATTAAGTTTTCTTGCTTATGTATAAGTTTTGCATGTTTATATATTATAGGTATAGTCGAATGAGTTTTCATGTTTTATATGATACTTAGCTTATTAAGAGTAGACTTCTTAGTCTACTCTAGAAGTCTACTATATGGACTTCATCCGACTTTCAGAGAAGTCTACTTATGCAATTTTGATGTCTAATGTGGTTTGGATTTTGTTCTTTTTCACAGAGAATGGCTCACATACCCGCTGTTTATGGAGAATGGGTTAAGAGTGAATCAATGTGGCAGTTAGAGGTGGATAATAGCAAAGAAGGGCGAATGTTGTTCTTAAGAGATGGTTGCACACATGGTGAGCTTCTTGGTGAATGTTGGCAAAGGAGGGCGAATGTTGTCACCTTTAAGTTATGTAAAATTAATGTCTTTAAGAAGTCTACTCGAGACAATGAGAAGTCTACTTCAGAAGTCTACTTGAGACAAGAGAAGTCTACTCGGTTGACAAGTTACATGATATAAATGAGAGAAATGTCCCTCTGAATCACTTTTAAGTTATGTAAAATTAATGTCTTTTAGAAGTCTACTCGAGACAGGAGAAGTCTACTCGAGACAAGAGAAGTCTACCCGGTACAATTAATGTCTTTTAGAAGTTTACTCGAGACATGAGAAGTCTACTCGAGACAAGAGAAGTCTACTCGGTTGACAAGTTATATGATATAAATGGGAGAAATGTCCCTCTGAATCACTTATAAGTTATGTAAAATTAATGTCTTTTAGAAGTCTACTCGAGACAGGAGAAGTCTACTCGAGACAAGAGAAGTCTACCCGGTACAATTAATGTCTTTTAGAAGTCTACCCGAGACAGGAGAAGTCTACTCGAGACAAGAGAAGTCTACTCGGTTGACAAGTTATATGATATAAATGGGAGAAATGTCCCTCTGAATCACTTATAAGTTATGTAAAATTAATGTCATTAAGAAGTCTACTCGAGACAGGAGAAATCTATTTTGTAGAATAGATAAACATAGATAATTTAGGAATTTGATATAAAATATTCAATGCAATTTAACATTACATAGAAAATAACCCTCTAAACAAACAAACATTTAAAGATCACTAATTATAAATCTTAAAACTGACATAAGAAATTACTAGTAAACTAAAATCTCTGAAAATTATGTATGCAACTAAAGTCTGCTTGAGAAGTCTGCTTGAGATCAAGAAGTCTACTCTAGAAGTCTGCTCAAGATCGAGAAGTCTACTCGAGAAGTCTACATTCAGATCTGCAAGAAAATCAACAAAATTCAGCTCTGCAACAATCACAAAAAATTTAGATCTAGAACAAAATCTATAAAATTTATACAACAATAAACTCAGATCTACAAATATAAACTTAGATCTACAATAATAATCTCAAATCTAAACTAATAAGCTCGGATCTATAATAATCTACTACATTTATAACATTCAGATCTGTACAAAAATCAAAAAAATTCAGCTCTGCAATAATAACAAAAAATTAACAAAATCTACAAAATTTATACAACAATAAACTCAGATCTACAAAATAAACTTAGATCTACAACAATAAGCTCAAATCTATAATAATAGCTCAGATTTGCAATATGAACACAAAGCAAACAAAAAGAGGAACACAAAATCTCAGATTTGCTTACCACTACCATAACCTGCAAGTGAGAGGAGGTTGAATGCAAGATAGAGAGGATGAAGAGGATATTGATAGCAAGAGAGGAAGGAGAAGAAATTCATGGCCAGAGAGAAGGGAGAAGAGAGAGAGAGGCGTTTTTTAGATAGAGAGAGACTTTATTGTTAATACAATTAGGTTAAACTCTCCTTATATATGTAGAAAAAAATTCGTGTAAGTAGACTTCTCCAAGAAGTCTACTCGAGAAGTCTACTTGAGAAACCGAGAAGTCTACTCGAGAATTCTACTTAGTATTCATTTCTAACCTAATTTATTTATGATGATTTAAATTGATTATTTTGTGTCAATTTTTATTTTTAATAGGTGTAAAAATATATATATTTATGTTATGGTTCTAATCTTTTTATCAAAATATTTTTCATGATTTTTAAAATTAATTGTAAACAAACTATTATAGAGTAGACTTCTCCAGGAAGTCTACTCGAGAAGTCTACTCGAGCTCGAGTAGACTTCTCGGGGATAAAACAGTAATTGCGGCAGCATTTTTTTGTTTAGTCAGAAGGGTTAATATTGTAATTTCACAACCCTCGTGAGTTATTTTTGTCAAACATGCAATAAGGGGTCTAGTTTTGCATTTAAACTCAAATTTTAAGTCATATTCAGCAATTCCCCCATAAAACATTTGATATGTTCAATTATGATTAATATAGTACTAAAAATATTTTATTTGTATATAATTAATTATGTATTAATAATAAAATTATAAATAATAGAAAATAACGATAAATCAAATATAAAATATTACAGATTTTAATAAATAATGAAGAAAAAAGACTAATTAAGATTTTAAAATATTTTCTTAGATAATAAAAATATAAATATGATAATTAAATAAACGGAAAAATATTAAAATATATAATGATTTATTTAATTTTTGTTTTTGGCCTACATCCATGTGCATATATAATTTTTTAATAGACATAATACTTGTAATATTTAAGTATTGATTAATTTTCTTATACATCACGTAAACGTTATGTTTTTATATTTTCTGTAATAGACATAATTACTTGTAATATTTAGGTATTGGTAAGTTTTCTGATATTTTCTGTAAACGTTATGTTTTTACACGATGCAGTTATTAGTGTTTAACAACAATCACGAAAATCGTTTCTATCTTTTTGAATTTAATCAATTTTTTAAAATTTTCAGTGTTTTATGATATATTGTTTCTCAACAAAAATATAATAAACAAGGATTATAAAATTTATGAAATTATATTTTATAAAATTCTCCGATAGCTCTCCGCTCATCTTTTCGTCAAATGTTTTATAATCTGCAATCGCTAACTTCCACAAACTCTCTGTAACCGAATCGTTTAAGCCAATCGGATCTAAACTTATATGTATATGATTTAAGATGTAAAATAGTATATTTAAAATTTGATTGTTATATTAAAAAATAAGAGTTGATATGTTCCTAACTTTAATATGTTTTTAATATATAATATAATGGATCACAACATATATAAAACTTGATTCATGAAATAATATTTAATATGTTGGAAAAATATATACATGAAAGAATTAATATGTGTAATATAATATTTTAAATATTTTAAATAAAAACATAAAATCAATCAAAATTATTCTTATTTATTTTTTGTCTTCTTTGACTCATAATTTTTTTTCTTAACATTTAATAATATATTAAAATTAAGATCATATCCAATGTATTTTTTCTAATTTTTCCTCTAAAATATAAGTGGACTTCTCTCCAACCTATTCTATTTTATAGAAGAAAAAAATATTATTAATTTTTCCTTTATAATTGGAGAAAAAAAGTAACAACATTTTTTTCCTCTAAACTAGATTATTTAAAATAAAGATAGATTGGAGATGTTTTAAACTAAAAATATAGTTTGAGATTTTTACATAAAACCAAAATCATAAAAATTCATTTTTACTTTTACTTATACTTTTTATTGATATATAGAGTATTATAATAAAAATATTTAGCTAAAAGGATACTTATAATTTATTTTTCTATCTGTTTCTTTTTTTATTTCATTTATAATTTTGAATTTTTGTTATATAATTTTGAATTTTTACTTTTTGTTGCTTATTTAAAAATAAAATTTATTTAATTTTAACTTAACCAATTAAAACATTTCATTTATTTTAAAAAATTTGTCATGTCATATTTAATATTGTTTTGTATTAACTGTTAGACACATCAGCTACAGCTTGTCAAATAATATTATGACCAATTGTAATTAACTCAACTGAAAAAATAGAGTAGAGATATTGTGAGTCCTCTTGTGATCATGCCGGTTAGGTTTAAAATCATAAAATTCAGTAAAATTGGTAGCAAGTAAAAGCTACATGTTCGTAAACTAAAGGAGAAGTTATTAAAAACAAAATACATAAAAACACATTAGTAGCAAGACAAGACAATGGACAAGTTCCCTACCGAGTGACTCAAGTGTTTTACGTGTAATTAAAAACAGAACACAAGAAATCTCAGTACTACGTTACAAAAGTCTTGAGGTTTTGATATTGCATCAAATAGAAAAACCAGATTTATAGAGCAGAGACAAGATCTGAAAAAGTTTTCCTTAACTAGACATCATGACATTGTCAATAGATTGAAGAGCTTGGTTTGCAAAAAACCTCACATCAACATCTGGATCCTCGCTTAGCTCCACAAGCCCAGGACGGATCGTCTGCTCTACAACCTTTTTCATCCACAACAAACCCAACAAAAATATTCAAAAACAGAACCATTTTCAAAAGCAAAGCTGTGTTCTTGAGCAAATATATACACTTACCGATTGATCGACTATTGGAATGAGAGACTGAAGCACTTTGGCTACGTTGAATTTGATATTTGGAACCCTGTAGTAGTGGAAAAAAACTTGTTTATTGTATTTATGATGTTTGAAGTGTAAAGATTTTGGGTCTTAACTATTTTACAGTGAGAGAACTTGCCTGTCTTTGGAAGCAGTCATTACTACAGGTAACAGCTTAGAGCATGTGATCTCCGAGCCCATCACTGGTGCAAGAAGAGAAACCGCACGCAAAATCGTCATACGGTATAGATAATGAGGGTTGTTAATCATCTCAAGAACCTGCAGATTAGTGTGGATGAAATCTCATAAGAAGATAAAACACTTTCTTTTATAGAAGTTGCAGAGATTCTAGACAAAAACCTGAGGAACGATATGTTGCATTGCCCATTCAGGACCAAATTCCTCAGCAAGCCGCTTCAGATTGTTTGCAGCAGCATCGCGGATTGAGTGAACCTGAAGAGAAGAGACCATTACTTGAATATTTTTATTTAAAAGAGGAATTTTGATTTTCTCCAATAAAAGGTTAGAGAGAGTGAGAGAAAGTAAAACCTTGTCTTTTAACCAATGCATGCAAAGAGTGCCAAGCTTATCGTCAAAGAAGCCAACACCTAACTGACTTGCCAACAAAGGGATATACTCAATTATAGCAAGTCTTACTCTCCAGTGTCTATCTTCAGCAAGTTCTACAATTGCTGGCAACAAGGATTGTGATAGTAGATCAATCCCAATGACCTGCCATATATAAATACATTGGCATCAATCAACTGAAAATGGATGGAGTCAAGTTAAGAGAGTAACATGACATCTGTGAAACCGTTGGCATGAGAAACAATTTGGGTAACTTGGTCATAACAAACCTGATTGACTTGGTCGAGTTTGCTGATAATGTTCAAGCGTACATCGGGAAACTCATCTTTCAGTAGAGAAAGAAAGATTGGAAGGAGATGCTCAATTGTTGCATCCTGCAATGAAAAAACAATGTCAAGTTAAAATTTGCAACATACACAATCCAATAAAGTTATCTTGTATAAAAAAAAAAAAAGGAACCCAGTTCGATTATGAACATCTCCCAACACTTAAGAGTCGATACATCTATATTTGCAAAGTCTCTTACCTTACCCAGGACTGGAGCCATTCCCATTATAACTGAGGCCAATGCAGATCTGACGTGCTGAGAAGAGTCCGATGATAGCTCCTACAGGTAGGATTACAAGAAACTATTAGTAATAAGTTTCCTCCTTAAAAAAACTTGAGAGCAGTGGGATTTTCTTAAGCATGTACCTTTACACAGGGGAGAATGTGCTGGATAGCAAGTTCAGGGTTTAGAATCCGACAAAACTTTGTAACTTTTCCAGCAGCTGCTATACGTACTTCAGCCTCATTGTCACGAAGTAGACGTACATATGCAGGCACGAGATCCGTCCTTAATACAGAAGGCACAATAAATAGTATCAAGAAGAAGTAAAAGACATCATCAAGATGGATCAATAAACATAAAACTTCTAAATAAGTAATCATTCTGAAGGGGTAATCTAATGTTCAATTTAGAAATGCATCTTATCCAATGGGCCTAAGGAATTTTATAAAGACAAGCAGCATTAGGTATAACAAAAACTTTCGTACCTAGTAGGCTCAGGTCCCACAGCTTCACAAAGCTCATAGAGCTGATTTGCAACCATATAACGCACACGCCAGGACTTGTCCTGCTCAGTATAACAAAGACTCAAGATTAAGCATCTCATTAAGTGCAGCTTTTACAAGGACCATCAGCATAAAAGCCTATATATTTTACACAAATAATCACCTGAGAGAAGTTAACAATCACGGGAAGAATGTGTGCGACACAGTCCTGGGGCTCCAACAACTTCCCAAGAGCAGCACAACCCTCAACAGCCAATAATCTAACGGAATCTTGATCTGATATATGAAAGCCAATACGGAAAATGAAGAAACCGTAAGATGAAAATAATGTAAGAAAACTAAATTGACGTATAGAGACTCATATTCATGTTTGACTTCAGCTAATGCTCAGTGCGAGTCAAATGAGAAGTTACCATCTTGAGTAAGATCTTCAAACATGGACATAATGTCTGTCTTCAAATGCGCTGACTCAATCGTAGCAGCAAATTTCCCAAGATTGGTTGCTGCAGCTCTCCGCACCATCGGCATATCATCTTGACAAAGCTGGCTATATAACGATCTTAACTCGGCCTTCAACGTATCTGGAGCGCTTGGGTATGCAATATGGAAAACTCCACAAGCCGAAACTCTGGCTGTGAACCATTCACCAGCTGCAAGTCGCTGTTTAAACACACAGAGAGAGATCTTCAGTATATCTCTTATTTCAACGATACATTATGCAACTTTTTTAGCAAAAAAAAAAAAAACATGTGCTTTGGTTCCTACAACGATAGACAACCGTTGAGTGGATCTAACCTTAACCAACGGTATGAAATGATCGACCAAGTCGCTCTCCCTCATCTGAGAACCAACTCTGCAGAGCGACTCCACAGCTTTCTCCCTCACGCAGGTTTCCTCAACGGCGGCGAGAGTCTCCAGAGGCGGAAGCAGAACATGCGCATGCTCGACGCCTCCGACATAAGGAATAAACACTCCCAACTCTTCAGCCATCGCAAGCAGCACCTCGTCATCGTCGTCGTTGTTTTCACTGAGAAAAGGGATCAGCTCCTTCCTGGTCCTCTCCTCTCCCAGAGCACGAGCGATCGTGGAAAGCCTCCTGATTGAGTTCAATCTAAGCTGAATGTCATCGTTCTTTAGCTCGTCTATAAGCACAGCGATAGGGTACAGAGGCTCGTCGATCATAGACATCCTTCCCCCAAACTTTAATTCCAACAACCTTCAACGTAAAAAAGAGATTAAGAAAATCACTCAACACAACATTAAAAAAATCAATTTACGGCGCTGATTATGATCCAAATGCAAACAACAGAAGAACCTAACCCAGATCTCAGAAAAAAGAAAAAAAAAGGCTAAATCTTTCTTAGGAGATGATAAATTAAGCGAATTGAAACAAATTGTAGTAATCCCACTAAAGTAACCCCACAATCAAACATAATTAGAATCTGGAATTGACTCTCCAATGTTCGATAAGACCATTTCCCGTTTCGTTTCAAAACACATAAACCTTCGAATTCGTCGAATTTCTCGCAAACGACAAACAAAATTCGACCTAGAGAGTTGCTAGCCTCCATTTACTAAGGAAGGGATAGAGGATCTAAACAATAACTTGAAATTCTCTTCGAGTTTGAATGAAATGATGAAGATTTTACCAATTTTGGCGCCTTTCACAGAAGCTGTTGCAAAATTCTTCGAGCGATCTACCGATCAAGAAGAGCGAGACCGGGAAGACTGAGAGAGAAAGAGGAGAAAGGGAAGAGAGATTTTTCCCGAAGCTTTTTCCTCGCAACAAGCATCTTCAAGCGTTCACTAAAAACTGGGCCTGGAAGTTTACGGACTCAATACATCATGGGCTCATATGGGCCCGTTAGCTATTCTCTTTGTTGTTGGTAGTGCTATAGAGAAGGAGATGAAATGTTTAAATTTGTCGTTTTACGCTGATGATCATCCTTGGAGAAGCTGTATCTCGGTTTAATCATATAGCAATTATGCTTCTCAGACAAGCGAATACGTGATGTTCAAACTTGTCTAGCTCTTTTAATCATTTTGAATGTTGCATCTCCATAAATTTTCACATTGTCATCGTTTCCACGTGTCACGAACATACACCACTCGAGAATATGGCAGCTTCATAAGAACCTAATGAGAGTAACTTCGTTTTTATACACCAAATATATATATATATATATATATATATATATATATTTATACATACATATGAACTAAGTAACTCATTAATAAGCTTCATCGTCGTCAAGATTGAGAAACAAAAGATATGCAAGCAAACCAAAAACAGGAACAAACCTAAGATAACTCACCAACTCAACCTTGCTCTTCTTCACATTCTGCAGGTTCTCTCCAATCAACCATGGCTGAAAGATTGTGTACAGACATATATCCCATATAAAGGCGTAAGCTAGTCTCTCCGATCCCAAATAACCAATCAGGAACTGCCACCTCTCCATTACTCCACCGAAACCTCCGTCTGCTCGGCCGTAGAGAGACCACGATGTTGATACCAGACACACCGTAGCTCCGGTCAGACCAACTATGGACGCGCCTTTGGTCATCGCTTCGCCAAGTCGAGACCTTTTGCTCGGTTTAGCATCTGGGTCAGCGTCGTTGAGCCGTAAAGCCATGTACGGGATTAAAAACGCTGCGTTGCATATTCACAATACATCATTAGAGGTTTGCTTTTTAGAGAGAAAGTAAGAAAACTTTGAATAGCAAAATCACAAGTGAAGTAATAAGTGTGTGTGTGTTACTTACTGTTTGTGAGGAACATCATGAGACCCCATAAGAGATCAAGAGAGCCCTTGTATCGATCTCTCTTTCGGTCTGTGTATAGTAAAGGAGCAAACATGAGTGTCCAAGCTATTACAAAGTTGAATAATCCTTCAGCCATCTGGTGTTTTTCAGACAGAAAACGAAAACATTTTCAGGTTTCACTAATGCGCAAAAACCTGTTTTTACTTAAATGATAATACTTACAGGGTGAAGAACAGGAGCTTCTAAGAAATGAATACCAACTGTTCTGCCAAAAAGTCCAGAGCAAAAAAAATTTCATCAGAGGTAAACGAAATCGACAGTGATCAGAGAAAGGTAGAGTCTTGAGCTTAACATACCGGAGTTTGTAAGAGGCAAGATAAAGAAGAAATTCAGAGAAAGTCCCAAAAGAGAACTCACTGTCTCTGAACTAATAGCCCAAACTGGATCTCCCTGTTGAGATCAAAGATAAACATTTTTCTGAGAAAGAAACCATTTGATTCTGAAAATCAAAAAGCATTCACAAGCAGAGAAATTTTTAAATGGTTCTCTTCCTAAATTGATCCAAAATTACTCAATGTGTAGTCACATAAAACTATAGCTAAATTCCAGGAACTATGAATGTTGATTTAGACACTAACGAACAGGATTATGAGCGAATCACGCACAGGAGCATAAGGGAGAAGAAAGAGCCATAGTATGTACACAGCTTCAGCACTCCACAGAAGATACCGAACGATTCTCCGTAGACGATCATCTTCGACCTCAACCGTCGCCGTCTCCGGCTTCCGCCGAGCCAAGCATAAAAAGGGTCTGTCTCGTGTTCTTATCTGGACGCGATCCATTGTCTGCCATCGATTGCAGCGATCGACGGCCGAGACTTTGATACTCCGGCGAAAATGATTGCTTATTTGCAGCGATTTCGTATGCGGAATGTGGAGGCAGTGACCGAGATGATTCACCGACGGTGAGGCAATCAGAATCATATCGTCTGCGCTATCCACTGTGGTCGGAGAAAATTAATTTTTAATACGAAAGAGACTCGCCGAAACGGCAGCGTATCACCTTAATATACTGAGATCAAACGGCGTCGTTTTGTTCGACTTGATTCCCTCCTTCTAGTGTGGACTTTAACGGGCCTTAGACCCATATCCCAGAACGTTTGATTTTACGGTGTTTTCTGTGGCTCAGGTATCGATTTTTTTTTCATCTTTTTGTAATTTTTGAATTGATATTGTCGTTCTTTTCTTTAGCACTCAAATTAAAATATTTTAATTCGCTTTCAACCACAAAATCAGAGGATAATGAAAAAAAGGAAACCGATTAAAGGTGAAAAAGAGTTTATCTCCAAAGAGTTTATCTCCCACGTAGGAGAAGTTTCTTTCATCAAACACAAACAGCTAAACATTTTCCCACGACACAGAGTCTCCCACCACCATCATTAAACACAACATGATCACACCATTGCACCTTACCCCAAACCTCTCCTTCTTGGCGTGTTTCCAAGGCAATCTCCGCACACCAAATCTCGCTCGTTCTCTTCCGACCATTCGTTTTATGAAAGAACACAGCCAATTTCTCACCGTAACTCACCGTCCTCGACCCCCACGAACCGGCCGTCTTACTCAACAGCTCTTCCACACCCTTCACCACTCTCCAGCACCTCTGCCTTGGATCATACGCTTTCAACTCGTTGTTCCTGTAATAGTACAATACGTTGTCGACGACGCACGCATCCCACCATTCCTCAGAGTTCACCATCTCGTCCAGTTCCCATTTACTTTCCTTTGGCTCGTAAACAAAGCTGTTATCATCATCTCTCATGTAGATATTATCCTCCATCACCACAGAATCATTCCACATGTGGCGTAGCTCCACGTCTGGCTTTTTCGTCGCAGGATCCCACTTTTGAGTTTCTGTATCCAACACCATGGCTCCTTCAGAGTTGATTAAGTAAATCTTACCGTCGATGATTTCAGCGACACTGTCATATTCCACGAGCTTGGGAATGCCGACGATTGGGTGCACTGTGTGAGATCTACAGTCGATGCATAACGTACCGTAATCGTTAAGTGATTCATTCACCTCGTATATCTTGGAACCCACGGCTACAAACTTTCCACAAGGATCCATGAGAGGAAGCGACCGGATAATGACCAGGTGAGTGCTGTTGACTTTCCGGCGTAGAATACACAAACGATGTTCATTGTCGATAGAGAGGACAACATAGAGACGGTGTTCGGTACGGCCTAACAAGGATCTTCTCGTGTATAGCTCAGGTGAAGTAGTGACTGATTGGAAACTCTTGGAAACGCGAGAGATTTTTGGATAAGAGCAACTCGGTACACGTGCCACGATATCCATGATTAGGTCATATGGAAGTGACATCATCATCATTGACGACGGCGGCAACTCCGACAGTTGCTCTCCTTCTCTGCCCTAACTTTGGAAGACACCTATATAGAGTTAGGCCTCAAATCCAAGAATCTCCGAGCTAGAGAGGAAACCCCAAATCCTTTCTTGGTTCCTGAGTATCTATAGCTGCGCTCTCTTTTATCTTCTCCACCTTTGGTTTGTGACCTAGCTGCGCTCTCTTTTATTGACTAGGTTTTTTCAAGTTAGCTATTCTGTCCCGGCTGATTTAATAAAAATATTTGTGGATCTCAAAAGTAGCGATATCATCGTTGTTAAGACCAAAAAGAGTTATATGTGTCTCTTTACAATATGATTCGAATTTTTTAAAATATTTACATTCATTTGAAGTGATTGTGATAATATACTTGGTATTGGTATGTTGCTATATATGCTTCATTATGTGGTTTATTATTATTATCGGAACATATCAATGCATTGAGGAACTTTGACAAACAAAAACATTAATAAAAGGAAGAAGAGAAGTTGCTCTGCAATTGCATGATGCCTTGGGAACCAAGAAAAGAGGTGTTGCCCTTGAGAAAAGCAGAGTACCAATGAGCAGAGAGTCTTGGAGATCTCTTGAGAAGAGGATCGCTAAAATTTACTGCGTACAATCCATAACTAAAGTCGTATCCGCTCAGTAGTTCGTATAAATCCATAAAGGACCATACGAAGTAGGCTCTCGTGTTTGATCCATTCCTACACGTAAGAGTAATATTGTTGTTTCTTACTTCTCTATTGCAACATTGTCAAGAGATGATAAGATGCAACAAGAAAACTTCACTTAATTACCTAATGGATTTGAGCACAGCACCAATGTAAGCATGCAAGAACTCAATCCTTGATGTGTCCTGCAGATCTTGCTTCAATGGTCTACCTATAAGATTAGATTAGCAAAAGAACTTAGCAGACTAAAACCAAAAACAAAACAAGAGAGAGAGAGAGAGAGAGAGAGAGAGAGAGAGAGAGAGAGAGAGAGAGAGAGAGACCATTCTCAAGAATGTAGACAGGAGGATTGCCATAGCTCTGCTTTAGACAGTCCAAGACATCTTCCATAGCCCATGGAACAACAGGATACTTGTCCAAACAAAACGAAAAACACATCAAAACAACTAAGAAAAATATTAATTAAGGAGTTTTCCATATGAATTTTAGCTTCTGAAACTCGTACATCGAAAAATGAAACATTCCCCGAGACTGTCCTCCCAAGCAAGCAAAAGGAAGAAGAGGTGATTAGCAACAATCAAAAAAAAAACATGCAACTGAGTTAAAAATAAATATATATATATATATATATATAAAAGATTTGAGTTTTTTATTCCTATACATGTTATAGATACGCCCATGTCTGTGAAGAAATTAGGGTTTCTTGAAAGAGAAGAAATTTGGGATTTGACAGAACCAGCAAGATAGTGAATGACTCCTAGGAAGTCAGACGAGCCTTTGACCAGTTCTGATTCTTCCTCTGAGAAAACTGGTAATCTTGATCCAACTGTTCTTTTCATTTCATCAGGATAGTCTCCGAATGTAAGAGGCCCAAGCATCCTAGATTTTAAAAGTTCAGATTTATTTTCATAACATCCTAAATAATTAAATTGAGCATTTGAAAAAGAAGCTTTTGGGGACCGTTTGTGCCATGACTCACCAGCCTAAGAAGAAATCTCTGGCTCTTTGAAGTGCGACTGCGTCGTTCTTGGAGCTTGTAAATGGTTTAAACCCTATCGTAAATAAACTTAAACCTACGGAACCTCCCTGTATATCCTGCAAATTGTTTCAAGCTCAAACTCAAACGTTCAAGAGATAATTTATGTAAAAAAATAAAAATACATGTATAAGGCAAGTACCTTGTACTTCTGCGTATACATTCTTGAAGCAGATGCGTGCGCAAGAAGCAAGTTATGCCCTACGATATACGGTTCAGTCGAAGAGTCTCCTGACGAGCAGTTTCCGCGTGGCTCCGAGCAACGACCAGGAGGTGAGTTCCCATCATTGTAACCTCCAACAGTGAATATGTTAGCCTCGTTGATCGTGGTCCAGAATTTTACACTGTCCCCAAACTCTCTGAAGCAAACATCTGCGTAGGCAGTAAAGTCTTCGCTGCAATGACAAAATATAAACTGTTTTTTTTTTGTGTGTAACTCAGTATGTAAAAAGACACTAAGTAAACGTACGATTTCTTTTAAAAAGCATACATCATTCTACGGTCGAGCCATCCTCCATATTCATCCTCGAGATACTGAGGATGATCGTAGTGGTAAAGTGTGACATGTGGTTCAATACCATTGCTTACAAGCTGATGGATGAGGTTCTTGTAGAATTGTAGACCCTTTGGGTTAACAGGACCTCTTCCATCTAAATAAGATCATAACAATGTCAAGAAACTTCATCACTTCAAGTAAAAACAAAAAAAATTGGTAAGCGTGTTTAATTAAGAAGGCTTAATTAATTACTTGGTATAAGTCTAGACCAAGAGATAGAGAATCTGAATGCATCTAAGCCAGTTTCCACCATCAGCTGCACATCTTCCTGCACAGTCACACACAACAAACAAATATTATGTCATAACCATAAGTAAATATTTTTAATAGTCACTTTGTGAATATGTTATTATTTTCATAGATAGAGAAAAGAACCTTGTACTTGTGATACCCATCACATGCTATGTCTCCATTTTTTAGATTACCTGTTAGGAAGTCAAAGCCAAAAAAAAATTAGTTCTGTTTTTAAGTATGAATTAGAAATTTAGAATCCAAACTTGAATTCCAAAAGTTGGTTCAAAATCTTATTAGTAGATATTAATTGAGAAGAGAGATAATTGGAGAAAATGAGTCCAAAAATATGTATATGGGGTAATACTAAACTCCAAGATTAAATTTAAACAAACTAATTACTAAACTCCAAGATTGATGTTAAACAGACTAATACTAAACTCTTAAGTTTGATGTTAGAAAGTGTAAATATGAGAAAAAAGCTTACGAGAGTGAAGGAAAGTGTCCCAGACGCTTGGCTTTCTCCCGTCTTCAGCAACAGCTCCTTCCCACTTTCAGAAAAAAACCAAACCAACAAACACAGATCATCTTCAAGAAACAAAACAAATATATCCGAAATTGGAGTGGATCTTGAAGAAGCATATGCATAGAAGTTGGAAAAAAACCTGATAAGCAGAAGAGGCAGAGCCGAAAGTGAAGCCCTCGGGGAAATCTCTCCTGCTGTAAACATCATGGTTGCATCTCACAGAAGAAGATAGAGCCAAGAAAATGGTGATCAGAGACAGAATCTGTTTCATTTCTTTCACTCTCTTCTTTTCCCTCTGTTTGGCTCCATGGTTCTTGAAAAATAACTAGAGATTCTATTTCTCATTACCTACCCGCGAGAGAAGTTTGTGTGATCAAGAATCAAACAGCTGTCTGTATCAGTATGGACCTTTCTTTACTCTTTTTGTCTCTCTCTCTCTCTCTCTTACTTAATGCTTGCTATGCTCGAGCATCAACGAACACGTCACGTGTTTACATTTCTCTCTTTTTTTTTAAGAGTTTTGATTAAAAAGGTGGAAGAACTCAGTCTTTTTTTTTACTCTAATGTTTTTTAAAGCTTGAACTGTATTTTTCATTTGGTTATGTACTTAATTTGGAGTTTTATTTTGGATTACTTCTAATAAAATAAGATGGAAATATATGGCCACCTATATATATTGTAAGTGATCTTACTGTACTTGATATTTGCAAAAATAGTATAATGATGTCTCTGTAAATGAGTTGTTTAATAGCCGAAATTTCACAAGTGTTTTTAGAAAGAAAAAAATTATGTATTTAGAAAGAAAAAAATGCAACTGTATATTCTACTTTTACATGATGTTGCATTTTTTTCATTTTTAAATTTCTTTTATAGCGTATAATAAATCTTGTTCTACATAATATTATGTTAATTTCTTTTATAGCGTATATTCTATTTCTATATAATATTGTGTTTTTTTCATTTAATGTCATTGCATGTTTTCTATAAATATTGTTTAGGAATTAGGATTACATAATTTAATGTAAAAATAATTATACACATTTACTTGGCCGACAGTTTTCTTCATTATATATTCACTACCTAACGCGGATATTTTGCTTTTATGTTAAAGATAACGAAAAGACCTTTAATTTATTTTTATTTTTTGTGCAACGACGTTTATTTTAAAACGGTTCTCATTTACAGAAATAGTAATAATAATAAATAATAAAAATACATTATTGGTTGATAATAATTTCTTCTTTTTTTCCTTTTTCGGTAACGGTTCTGTATCAAGGAACACAGACTTGATTGTCCCCATATGGTATATATATATGATATATCTAGTGGACTCTGTAAACTCCACGTTGTTCATCATATCTACCCAAGAGCAAGAGGCCAGGAACTAAAATCGATTGTGAAATGTTGATTGAGCCTTTCATGACGAATAATGAACAAAAGAGTCGTCCAATTGTGAATAACCACCGGTAAATGAAAATGACTGTCATTAAGTGAACTTTAAATCTATACACAAGATTCACTTAACCAAATTTGCTTGATTTTGAACCAATTATATGGGCTTGGCCCATTGGCCTTTCTTGCCTTTCACCGAGCCAAGTCAATATTTTGTTTCCGGTGAAAAACAAGATAATAAATTTTCCAACCTTCTCGATCAACATTATTTCTCATGCCACTACTGCTGAGTGCTGACTCAGCCTAAATGATCGAATTAAATGACATATTGACACGAAACCGACAAACACGAGGATCATGAGGTACACGTACGTAGCATTTTTATTAAATCTCTTACCTAAAGGGGCCATAATCCATGGTTTGGTTGGCTAACATTACCCAAAATGATACGAAATAATATTTGGGTAAAATAAGAAGTGGCGATTTTAGTGTAAAATGTGCAATTGTACCGGGGGAACAAACGAGGGCAAGTGTGAGCTTTTTACCTTTTGTCTTGTCTATATAAACGTATGTGTGTCGCGTCTCTCGAGTCTCTATATTAATCTAATTCAATGGCTACTGTATTTATGGGTACAGCTCTTATTTACCAAAGTGCATTGACCCACAATCTTCGTCTTACACGTCCTCGGCGTTTCATATGCAGATCCATGACCGATACGACGCCGGATAATGCTACAGTTGACGTCCTCCGTCGACGCTCCGGCAACTATCAGCCTTCTCCTTGGGACCATCGTTTTCTTCTCTCCATCGAGAATAAATATGCGGTAAAAGTATTCACGTCTAAGACGACGTCATGTTTATATATTCATGTGGATATATGCAGATATATGAATCTGCTTTTTTCGTAAACATTTCTTTGTATAGTATTTACGACTTACTAATTACAATACGATGCATACAGAAAGCAGAAAACGTGATAGCTAGAGATTTGTTGAAGAAAAAAGTGAGGAAGATGTTTGATGCTAAGACAAAAACTCGTCTCGAGCAATTAGAGCTCGTCGACGACGTGGAGAAACTTGGGGTCTCATATCATTTTGAGGTGGAAATAAATAACATTTTAATGGACTTTCGTCATCAAAATGGAAGAAGCGTCTGGAAATGTGGTAAAGAAGAAGATTTACATGCAACCTCACTCGAATTCAGACTTCGAAGACAGCATGGCTTTGATGTATCAGAAGGTTAGTATTTTGATTTTTCATATTCAATGAAAACGACATGACAACTTCTTTTATAATATATAAAATTCTGTAAATTAGCTAAAATAAGCGTTTAAACCGTCTATTTCAGATATATTTGATGTGATTATCAACAAAATAGAAAGTGATCATACGTACAAGAGTGACGATATAAATGGTATCATCTCTTTGTATGAAGCGTCATATCTCTCCATAAAATCGGATACTAAATTGCATGAAGTCATCAGACCTTTTGCAATAGAACAAATAAGGAATTTTGTCGATGGTGATCATGATGATAACATTGAGGTACGTGAGAAGGCGATTCATGCGTTAGAAATGCCGTACCATTGGAGAATGAGGAGGTTAGAAACGAGATGGTACATAGATGCATACGAAAAGAAACATGACATGAATCCTGTCTTGCTCCAACTAGCCAGGATCGATTTCAATATCGTACAAGCTTCTCATCAGGAAGATCTCAAATACGTTTCCGGGTAAATATTATAGAAGCAATATATACTAGTTAATTTTTCATATCGCACAATGGTATTAATTTCTTTGTAATCCTCTTTCTTTTGATGATATGAAGCTGGTGGAAGGAAACATGTTTGAGTAATCAACTTCCTTTTGTAAGAGACAGAATAGTTGAGAATTATTTTTGGACTGTTGGATTAGTATACGAACCTCAATTTGGAAATATACGACGGATCATGACTATAGTTAATGCACTTGTTACAACTATTGACGACATTTACGATATCTATGGCACTCTTGAGGAACTTGAACTCTTTACTGCCATGGTTGACAAGTAAGGACTCTACAACTCAAATTTCCACTTAATTTTCCTGGTCTATTGTAAAAAATAAAGAGCATTAAAATGTTATTGCGATTGATGTTCGAAAAAAAAAAGAAACTATTTGTCAAACTCGCACAATTCTGTAGTCATAACTCCACCTTTTTATATAAAATAATATAACAACGATATGTTGATGATAAATTATAAGGATTTGTTTTATGATTCAATACTGCTATTTAAAAACACAATCGTATATATGTTGTAGTTGGGATGTCAATCGTATTGGTGAGCTTCCCGAGTACATGAGGTTGTGTTTTCTTATCTTATACAATGAAATCAATGGGATTGGATGCGATATTCTCAAATATAAAAATATTGACGTCATACCGTTTCTAAGAAAATCTGTAAGTTCGAACATGTGTTTATATATATATTATAGTTTTTAATAATTAAACAACAAAAGTTCTTTTGTTTAAAAACAAGTGGGCAGATTTATGTAAAACATATCTAGTAGAAGCAAAGTGGTACAAAACAGGATATAAACCAAGCGTAGAAGAATACATGCAAAATGCTTGGATTACAATTTCGGCTCCAACGGTACTAATCCACTTTTACTGCATTTCCTCTGACCAAATCGTAATCCAAACATTGGAAACTTTGTCCCAACACCGACAACATGTCGCCCGATGTGCTGCCACCGTGCTACGTCTAGCTAATGACCTTGGAACTTCGCCGGTAAATGATAATTTTTCTAGTTTTTAGTTATTGGTTACCGAATCACATTTGAGTTATTACTATAAAAGAAAAGATTATGGGATATAAAACTATTGGTCTAAAAATCGACTGATTTGATGTCAAACGTAATATACAAGCGAGAGGAGTGAGTGAGTTTGTTAAATTATAGGATGAATTGGCGAGAGGAGACGTCCTCAAATCGGTCCAGTGTTACATGCATGAAGCCGGAGCTTCGGAGCAAGAGGCACGTGCGCACGTGCAGCAGATGATCAGTGACACGTGGGATGAAATGAACTACGAAACAAAAACGGCACGAACTTCTACGTTACTCTCTCAAGGCTTTTTGGAAGCTGCAATGAACCTGGCACGCATGTCGCAATGCATGTATCAATACGGCGATGGTCATGGATGTCCCGACGAAGCCAAAACCGTTGATCGTGTCATGTCCTTGCTTGTTAATCCACTCCCATTAGATTGAGTTTAGTGAAAATAATGCAAAAAAAACCTCAATTTTTATTTGTCTACGATCAACCTTCACCACAAAGCAGATCAATCCTATAATTTCAAAAGTAACTGTAATCGAGACTGAACTTTTCAGCCACCAAGAGTGATTATGTCATGTGATTTTGGGAAGCTGGGTTACACGAAATCAATTAATTAGCAGTAAGTAAAGCTTTCCGTTAATAACAGGATCCATGGGACAAATAGGCTCACAACAAACACAAGTTCAAACAAAACAGCCTACAAGGAGAGAAACATAACAAGAGCTACAGAAACCTTATAATATAACCAAGTAATACGAATATGAGAAGAATATTATTAATCACTTTATCCAAAAGATAAATATATTATTAAATCATTTTAAAAGAACTCCAAGTATAATGCATGAATCGGGTTTTAAATTTCGCCAGCACGGATAGAATACTGGTTTGTTATATTATACAATATAACCTAAAAAAAACCTTCAATTTTTTTTCCTATGCAATGACAAATGCTCACAATTGAGTGAAAGCTGTAATGTGACACCGATGATCAATAAAAATCGTAAACCTAAAGACTTATACTGAGCTATGAACAAAGAAATAAACATCCACAGCAACTCAAATTGTCCACTAAGCTCGAGATACTTACCAAATTTGCAGGAGGAGAGAGGAAGGCCCTATAATAGATAAAAGTCACAATTAGTGAACTAAACAACAAGGAGATGAACAAAATAAACGAGATCTATTTGGTAAAAGAAATTTAAGAGATAAGATAAGATTTTATCTCAATACCTTAATATTTTTTTTCTTGTGCAGCTCTCTCCCCTCCAAGCAAAACCTCCGGAATGACAATAATACGATTTATCAGATAATATGGAAAACACAAGAACACTAGAAAGAAGAAAACATGGAAATGCATATTGACAAGGATATAACTAAATATGAAAGAAAGCAAAAAAAGGAACTATTTCAGGCAATACTTTAACCATGACAAAAAATACTGCAGATGCCCAAACTCTAAAACCTATTCAAGCAACACAATCTCATCCAAGTTTTAAGCTATAGACCAATGCAGATGCAAAAGGATCACAGTAAGTATCGCTTTGCTTTCACATAACTCTACCTTCTCCTGTGTGCCTTTATAGCATTGAAAGACGTTAGGACTGTCTCTAAGCATTGGTAGATGTCCTGGAGAAAAACAACATCAGGCCCTCAAGAAGACCAATAGACAAAATGAAGCATCTCACTGTCACAAAATGATATTCACAGAGTCTCCATATAAATTGAAAATATGATTCAGAATGACCCTCTCCTTATTCAGATGAAATAGTTTCCAAACATAGACTTCTACAATGAGTAAACTCGGAACGAGGTTACACAGCAGTATAAAGAAAGAAAGCGCCATTAGCGGGTTGTCTTACAATAGAACCAGTAAATTCCCCATGAGAATCGCCAGTGGTGAGAACTCCACCCAAACATCATCACCCATGCCCACAGTATAACCAAAGCTCTCAGGCAGCAGAAGGAAGATAGAGAAAGTTCAAAGATTAGAACCTTGAATTTCAAATTAAGATGTGTAATGTACAAATATCTAGGACAACAGCATTTCCTGATATAACAGAGAGAGAGAGAGAGAGAAAACGGCAACGTGGTTTCACTTGCCAGTGATGAATGGGTGAGCTAATGCCTGCGACACAGTCATTCTCCTTTCAGGATCAAGGATGAACATCTTGTCTAAGAGATCCCTGAAATGAGCTAACATCTTGGGATCCTCACCAGGGTAACCTTTAATAATTGAACCAAAATCTTTTGGCTTTACATTTACAATCATTCTCTTTATCATCTGCAAAGGAAGATATAACAAATTACTCAAGAGTCAATAGGTTTTCAAACTGCAAAGTGCCAAAGAAAACATAAGGACTGGCTTGTTACCTTTCCACTAACAGTGTCCTCCTCTGTAGCGTAAAAGTTCAAATCGTGATCAAAGTGCTGATCAATAAATGCTCCCTGTTGAATCGAAAGCACAAGTATAAGAACACGCATAGAAAAGCTGCTTCTCTTAAAGCTACAACCTAGATCTCCAGCCTACATACTATGTTCTTCTTTCTAATTCTCTAAGGAAAGAATTCATCTGAAAATACGTTTTGATATCAAATCTACTTTAATGCTTACCTTGCGAAGCATCTTTTTGGGGAAGGGGCCTTTCAGTTCCATTTGAAGGCGTAACATATCATTATTTGTGGCGCCAGGGAAAAGAACTTTCCCGCAGTAAAGCTCATACAGACAGCAGCCAACCGACCATATATCCAGCGGATGGTCATAGGCCAGCCCAAGAACTGCCATGGAAAAAAATTGGGAGCTTCTTCAGTCACGTATTCTTTAGCAATAATCAATGAAATGTTTGCTAACAATCCAAGATATCACGATTCTCAAGGCAGATAGAACTTACTGATTTCAGGGGATCTGTAAAAGCGACTAACAAGATATGGCGTGACTTCGTTTTTTCCAGCAAACATTGCATTACCAAAGTCACAGAGCTTTAACACGTTTTTGTTCTCATTCACCTGCACAAACAGAATAATTGTCAACATTGGAAAGTTAATGAATCAAGTATGAGAACACCATAGAAAGGTATGACTGACCAGCATGTTGTCAGGTTTTATATCGCAGTGAAGAACCCCACAATTCTTCAGATGTTTAAGGGCAATGAATAGCTGCTTTGAATAAGATCTAACAGCAGAGAGTTTAAGACCAATGTTACGGCCAAACTTCTTCAAGACCTCACGGAGATTTAAATGTAGCGACTCAAACACCAAGCAGAGGTGATTCCGGTACTTAAAACTTGAAAGAAAACGAACACAGTGGCGCTTGTCATCTGGGTCAGCGCCAGCCAGCTTCTTCAATATCTGAACCTCAGTCTGGCCAGCTTTATGCCTAAATAAAATGTGATAGAGTAAATGAGAAGATGATAAATCAGATATTGCATAAGAATTTAAGGAATTAGTCAGGGCCTATAGAATGCACCACCTACATTGTTTCGTTGTTACGAATAATTTTAATAGCTACTTCTTCAGGTTCAGCGGGTCCAGCTTTTAAATCTTTTGCACGGACCACAGTAGAGAAGACACCTTTTCCATGAGTAGCAATGACTTCATATCTACCGTCAAGTAGCTCGCCAAACTGATAGCCTAAAAAGGTGAAGAGACTATTTTTAAGATGAAAATTAACAGAAGGGCTTTAACGAGTTCAAAAAATGAGAAAACATGAGGTGCATGAAGTGGTCACGAACTTAAACCATATACTGGTCTTAAAAATTGCAATGTAGCTCAATATACATAGAAAGCAAACTTACTGTAATAACCCTCTGCATCATCCCAATTATCATGAAGCCCGCTCCTTACCATCGGAACACCATCACCTTTCCCTCGCATGAGCCCCTGAAAGAAGAAAGCTTTATATAAGGAGAGGATAAAACACTAAACTGTTAAGACTTTGCTGAAACAAGAATGAGAAAGGTTTATGAGGATCAGACTAGTTGATTCATGGAGGATAAGAGAAACATAAGATGTTGACATCAGAAGGCTACTGAACTGTTCCAACATGATAATGTCAAAAGATGTCGAAGTAATTGAGTTAAAGACATACCACTTTTTGGTTACCAGCTGGGGACTCTCCAAAAATATCATCATGAAACATATCAGCTGATCTTTCACTCTGGCAGAATAAATTTGTACAAGGTCAAGAAACATCACCACATATATTTAATGATAGTATAAACATAAAACCAAATAATTACTCACAACCACATACGACAGAAACAATAAGGTTTCCTTTGATAACGCACCTTCGGGCTACCTTCACCAAGCCCTGCTGGGGCTAGAGTCTTATCTGAGTCCGAAATTCCAACCATAGCAGGTGGCCCACCAGCTGTTGATGATGTCTTGGAAACATCACCAACTACAGCATCAAAGTCAGAGTTAGCTTTCGCTGGACCAGCATTAGCAGTTATGACAACTGCAGAAGAAGCCGAATCTGGAACGACATCTGGCACAGAAACAGAAGACTCATTAAGACTGCCTGGAAGCTCAAAATCTCAACAAAAAAAAAAGCCATTCACGCATACCAAGTTGAGCAGAACAGCCACATTGAAAAAGAGGTGGTTTTGATACACAAAATGCAACTGACTTTCAGATTAAAGAACTACATCTAAACGACCAAATGAAAACCTCGAAGGAACTGTATTGACAAAACACAATAAGAAAGTCGTTATGCACGGTGATTGCAATAAAATGATGAAGAATTACCTTTCCCTATATCCTGAGAAATGGATTCATTTTGCTGCTCCTTCTTCTTATATTTCTCCAGTATGGCTTCCATTCGCTTCCTGCTCTCCTCCTTGATTCTATTTACTTCATCTTCTTCTTCTTCCGGAAATTCCCATATAACTCCTTCGTCATTATCATTTTGATCATCCCCATTTCTGGACCTGATCGTAAAATAGTTAAGAGCAAAACAAAATAACAAAAGATCTATAATCTATAACAGAACATTCACCAGGGGTAGAGTTATTCAAAATTTACCTTTCACCGTTGTCCACATCAACACTATTATACTTCTCCCTGTAAGTCTGGATTTCTCTTCCTTTGTCCCTATCTTTGTCACTCTCCCTTTCATTTTCTCTCTTCCTTTCCCTGCTATTATATCTGGTTCTATCTCTACTCCTACCTCTTTCATTGTCTCTATCTCGTAAATAATCTTCTTCCCTCTCCCTTCTCCTATCCCTGTCGATGCTCCTACCTCTTTCACTGTCTCTTTCTCGTCCTTCCCTCTCCCTTCTCCTATCCCTATCAATGCTGCGCTCTCGATCCTTATCTTTTCGCCTTTCACGGTCAGCCTCTACCTCCCGTCTTTTCTCTCGTTCTCTTTCCCTCCTCCAATCACTATCTCTCTCTCCCCGTTTACTTCTTTCTGAATCCCTATCTCTTATGCTTCCCTCCCTTTCCATATCCCTCTCCTTGCTTCTTTCTCTTTCCAAGACTTCTCGACTATATTGCCTGTCATCTTCCTCAAATCTCCCACGTCGGTAATCTTTTTCCTCAGTCCTCCCTGAGTCAACTCTGTCATGGCGATAATCCCTACTAGAATCATGATGTCTTCCTCTGATCGAAAACTCATCCGCCTCAGCAATCCTTGATCTTGACATTTCCCTCTCCCGATCATGTGACCTAGATCTACTCCGAGCACGGACTTCGTTAGACTGCCTGCTGTTTGACGGAGACCGGTTACTAGTCTTATGCTTCTCCTCAGAGTTATCCGAACAAAATGAGCTCCTGCCATTATCATGACTTCTCTTACCAACTCCCTCTGAAGGACCTCCAGATTCTTTACGCCACCTCTTATCCTCCCTTTTAGATTCACGAGTTAAATCACCATTACAAGTTTCGGCATTTTTCCCAATATTTCGAGCACCAGAAACCCCATTGACAGGCTGCGAGCAAAGCCACAAGATTTAAGAGAGCTTATCAGAATAGAGATCTGTTTGATACAAAACGCATGAGCATACATTAAATATAAAAAAATGGAAAAGAACATCTACGTAATCGCAAAACCAGTTCTTACAAATCAAGGGAAAGCCATCAGTCTCCATTGAACGCCTAGTGGAACTGCTTTCTTACGTATGCAATGAAACACTCAGGTTATCTAAAGAAAAACTCTCAAAGACCAAAGCTTTTATCATCAAACGGAAATTCAGCTTATGTATAGTAGAGGCATAAATGCTGTTTGGATACTGAGCTATAAGAAAAAAAGTTGCGTATAGAAAATCTATGGTTTCTATCAAACTCCATTGATCCCAGCATCCAAACAGAGTTTAAGCCTAAAAACTGGATTCATTAGAAGAAAAATACGTAAAAAAAGGTCGATTAGAACAGACCAGATCATTGTATTGAAGTTGATCGGATTTGATTTCGCCAGACTCGCCGTCGGAATCTAACGTCTTGGCATTGGCAACCCCCTCTTCGTCTAGAATCTCTCCCTCCTCGACGTCATCCTCACCGCCGTTACTAACAACAATCGGAGTAACATCCTTCAGCTCTGTCTCGTCGCCGCCGGATGGAATTTCTTCGTCGCGCTTCTTATCACGGTGATGTCGGTGATGGCGCTTGTGGTGGTGCTTGTGGTGACGGTGCTTGTGCCGCTTCGATGATTTATCGGCCTCGTCGGAAGAGGAAGACGAACGGTGGTGCTTGCGGCGGTGAGATTCGATCTGCTTGTCATTCGCCATAGGATCGTCGAAATTAGGGCTAGGGCTCAAGAAATTTCGGATGATTTGCTTCCCCTCTTTTCTTTCTCTCGCTACGAGTTACGCGACTCCGCGAGACACGAGTTCTACTAAGCATCTTTATATTAAAAATAAATCTATTTTTTATAAAATAAAATAGAATATTTACAAATTTTCTTTACTTTTAATTGATCCTAAAATAAAATAAATTAGGTGTTGGATGAAATAAATTCAACCGGTCATCGTTAAACAAACAAAAAAAAAACTGAACCCCATACTTTCATGTAGGGGTGGGCAAAAAAACTGAACCGAATCAAACCGAATTCAAATCGACCCAAACCGAGCTATAGTTTTTACCAAAACATTTTAATTAGAGTTTATATCAATCCGAATGGTTTGATTCGGTTTGGTTTTAAACCGAACCGAACTAAAATCCAATATATTTATTAATTAATTAATAATATCAAATTAATATTAATGATAAGTTCTTATAATTAACTAATATCAAATTTTGTAATTATATTTTTATATTTATTTAAAGAGTTTATTTAAATTATTTTATTTACATATTTATATTGCTCGATTTATTAATATTATTGATTATTTATTTTATATTTTATAAATTAATTTATGTTAACCAATTTAAAAACCAAACTGAACTGAAATAAATCGAACCGTACTTAAACCGAACCGAACACAAACCAAACCAAATTAACATTGGTTGAGTTCAATTTGAATATTTATAGAACCGAATTAACCAAACCCGAATTAACTAAACCCGAACCAAACCCGAACTTAAACTGAAATGCCCACCTACTTTCATGTAGAAGTTATATCTAATCTCTTAGTTAATCATTTACGCATATAAATTGTATTTTTTGGATTATAATGTATATCGACATAAGAAACATTGACTACACATTATATGAATAATATCTATATATACACTTGTTTTTTCTGATGGTTTTTGCAGATGTTTATATATTTTGGATGATTAAAGGAGAAATGAATTAAAGAGAACTAACACAACAATGGTGTGGTCATGTGGTCAGGATGTACGGAATATTCTTGCGGCATTTCATATGGTGATTCGTGCTCGTATCCTTCTTCTTCACCGTGGCCGCCGGTGATATCTTCGACTTCGAGAATCTCAACCCTCCGTTTCATTTTCTTCTGTAGTTTTACTGCAATATCCGACGGTCTAAATCGTCCGCAAACAATTATCTTGCGTTCCTTTTTCTCGATCATGTGTGTATCCACTTCTTCATACAATGTATCAAGAATATGTATTAGTATTGCATTTTTTTTCTTGCTTTTCATCTAAAATATGTTGCCTGAACTTTATTTATTTTTCTTGCTCATTTCCTTTCGTATTTTCTTACATTACCATATACCAACCTTTCATATTGATGATAATCCTTCTTACTTTTCTACAACAAGCATTGCAATCCAAATTAATCCGCATCACAGCACAATATTGCCTCTGCATTTCACCATCAAATATAAAACCAACAGAAAATAATAATTACTAAGTTTGAGAAAAAAAAAAAGTTCAAATGAAGAAGAAAAAAGACAAACCTTTTCCGACATGGGATGAAAGTAGCAACAATGTTTGTTGGTCAAGAGAACAAAAGAATGCAGGTTTACAACAAATATAAATTAAGCTTTTGGAATCTGATTCTCTAACTTTGGTTGGGCAGAGAAGATATATAACAAAAACTGGTTTTGGTTTTGTTATGTTACCTATTATCATTGAGAAGCATCTCTAATTAATTATTCTTTGTTTCTAGATGGTTTTATAGAACCGGAGACAGAGATAATTTCATCCGGTTATTAAAATTTGTAACTGGTACGACGCTTATAATGATACAAAATGTAGGTGAAGACGCTTAACGAACTTCGGACCTCGTCTTCTCCGTCCACTTCACACTCCTCTAAATCTCTCAGATCTCTCTCTCTCTCTCTCTCTCTGATTCATCGAGAAACAACAATGGCGGTTTCTTCTTCTTCGTTCCTATCGACGGCTTCTTTCTCTAATCCCAAATCCACCATTTCATTCGCCTCCTCCGTCTCCCCTGCGCCAATCCCTTCCCTCCGTCGCGTCGTTTTCCGCTCCTCGATTCCGGCGTCTTCTCACCGCAGAGTAATGACGGTCCGATCCAAGATTAGGGAAATTTTCATGCCGGCGCTCTCTTCCACTATGACGGAAGGAAAAATCGTATCGTGGATCAAAACCGAGGGCGAGAAACTCGCCAAGGGAGAGAGTGTTGTCGTTGTGGAGTCTGATAAAGCTGATATGGATGTAGAAACCTTCTACGACGGTTATCTCGCCGCAATCGTAGTGGGAGAGGGAGAGACAGCTCCGGTAGGCGCTGCAATCGGATTGTTGGCGGAGACTGAGGCTGAGATCGAAGAAGCCAAGACCAAAGCCGCTTCGAAACCTTCCTCTTCCGCTCCTCCCGCCGCTGCGGAGGCCGTCGTTCCATCTCCTCCTCCGGCTACATCATCTCCCGCGCCGGCGATCGCTCAGCCTGCTCCGGTGGCGACGGTTTCGGATGGTCCGAAAAAAACAGTAGCGACGCCGTATGCTAAGAAGCTCGCGAAACAGCACAAGGTGGATATCGGATCCATTGCGGGAACTGGACCGTTCGGTAGGATTACGGCTTCTGACGTGGAGGCTGCGGCTGGAATTGCTCCTTCCAAGTCCACCGTAGCACCACCGCCTCCTCTTCCGTCTGCACCAGCGGCGGCGACGCCAAAAGCTACCAAGACTAACTTGCCTCCTCTATTGCCTGATTCAAGCGTTGTCCCTTTCACAGCAATGCAATCTGCAGTATCCAAAAACATGATTGAGAGTCTCTCCGTTCCAACATTCCGTGTTGGTTATCCTGTGAACACTGACGCTCTCGACGCACTCTACGAGAAGGTAAACACACATAGATTGTACATTGTTCTGATGTTTATATAAAGCAAATGTTAATCATTGCTTCTGAGTTTTTTGTTTTTGTTTTTACAGGTGAAGCCAAAGGGTGTAACAATGACGGCCTTATTGGCTAAAGCTGCAGGGATGGCTCTTGCTCAGCACCCTGTGGTGAACGCAAGCTGCAAAGATGGGAAGAGTTTCACTTACAATAGTAACATCAACATTGCAGTGGCAGTGGCTATCAATGGCGGGCTGATTACGCCTGTTCTACAAGATGCAGATAAGGTAAGCCATGCAAAATGAAAATATGTATAAAAAGTAGCTAGCTTGTGATTTGGAACATACTCCTAGTATTGGTTTACCGATTGCGAATCATGTTGGTTGGTTTTATAGTTGGATTTGTACTTGTTATCCCAAAAATGGAAAGAGCTGGTGGGAAAAGCTAGAAACAAGCAGTTGCAACCTCATGAATACAACTCTGGTACTCTTCTTTACTAATATGGTTGTTCATATGCTGCTGTCTCTGCTTCATGCATGAGAAGTGTGTTTGAGGATTGTGTCGTATGTTGTATTTAACGCAGGAACATTCACTTTGTCGAATCTCGGTATGTTTGGAGTGGATAGATTTGATGCAATTCTTCCTCCAGGACAGGTATTCGAAAAATTTCAGTAGTGTCATCAAGATCAGTGATTACAATCAGTTTACTTATATGTTTTTTAAAACTCAAAATCTCTAGGGTGCTATAATGGCTGTTGGAGCGTCAAAGCCAACTGTAGTTGCTGACAAGGATGGTTTCTTCAGTGTCAGAAACAATATGTTGGTAAGTTTGAATTTGATCTCACATGGAACAAAAAAAATTGATGGATCCTATATAAGCTGGTTAAGAACTACAAAAGTGGAAAGTAGTCTCTCGTTGGTTATCTTGAAAAGAAGATTTAGCTATAGCTTTCAAAAAAACGTAAGAGCTTCTTTGGAGTAAGAAGCTTTTAACTTTCTTAACAAATACTTTTGGCTTTTGGTTGTGTGGCAGGTGAATGTGACTGCAGATCATCGTATTGTCTATGGAGCTGACTTGGCTGCTTTTCTTCAAACCTTTGCAAAGATCGTTGAGAATCCAGATAGTTTGACGTTATAGACACGCCAATGTCTAGAATCCAAACAGTTCCAAACTTCCTGAGCCAATTTTTTTCTCAAGTAAAGAAAAGTTTTTAGTCTTAAATTGTTACACTGTCTCTTGGTCTCTTGTTCTTCTTTTGCAGGGAGCTTGTTTCAATTGTGTTGTGTCTGTATTTTTTTTGGACTTTTTGTATCTTGTTTTCCTGAATACGCATTTGGGTTTTTACACAAATAAATTTCCGGTTTGAAATGGTAACAAGAATCGGCCTCTCAAAGAAATTGAATACACGCGGCCCATTATCTTTCTTTCTATGTGGGTCTTTTGGTTAATTTTCTCCATATGTTAAATTCTTCAAGGCCTTAGTAGACTTGGGCCCGAGTAATCTCCAAAATCCCAATCCAATTTGATCTTCTGTGAAAAGTAAATTTCTTTGTGACAATTTTTTTATTAGAATTAAAGTTTATCAAATATTTAAGAAAAACAAAACCATGAAAAGAAAAAGCTATATACTAGTAACATTAACTTATATAGTTTTATTTATCAATAAGATTCTGATATGAAAATATGAACAAAACAAACTGATTTGAACATATGCTTAATCGCAGATTATTATAATATCTGGAACTAAATTCTTTGATAGTATACATAATCTTTCACATTAACAAAAAAGCTAAGCAAAGGATGAAGACGATTAAAGATCAACAGAACAAATCCTGGAAAAAAGTGGGAAAATGATTCTTATAAACTAATCTAAGCCATTTACCACACTAAACTTTTGATTTCTCTAATCCTAAAACTCTTAACAAAAAAATATATAGTTCCTACATCATCATTAAACAAAAGAAAAAGCCAAAAAAAAAAGCGGACCAAACGCTTAACAATGCGCGGCCGTTTCATTTCCCGCTTTAAAAAACTCCGGAATATTGTTTACTCCGCCGGTAAATATTCCGGCCGCCATGAAAACAGGTCGCCGGAATCTAAACAAACATCAGAGTATTCGAAGAGTCCATCATCCAGATCGAAAGATCCGAAACCCGTAACATGATCCTCAAATCCACATAACTCTGATGAATCCGACGAGGCTCGTACCAATTCCGCCACCGTCTCCTCCGTTTCCTCAGACGACGGAGTAGGAAGCGTCGGTGGCGGCGGAGGCAAACCCAGCTCGTCATCGGAAGCTTCGAAAAGATAGCCGAGATCTGGCTGAGTCTCGCCGGAGCCTTGCGCCGTCGTGGTCGATAACTCATCCTCGAAGCTCTTCATCACCGAGTCAAGATCTTGAATCGTTGGGTCATGACCTGAGTCATCGAACAAATCGTCTCTCAACCGCTTCACGTCCGGCGAGTCGAGACCTAACTCGTTCAACTCGTGTCTGACTCGCTTCTTACCAACCGAGTCAGTCCGAGTTAGCGTCTTCTCGTCAGCCAATAAATTGTCCATAGCTTTAACCGGTACGGTTTATTTCTTGGTTTAGGTGATACGTTTAATTTTAAATTAGTGGCAATATCGAAATTAGCGGGAGATATCAGTGCAGAATTGGAAGAAGGGAAACATGAGATTTTATAGTGGAGACAAGAGAGAAGATATGAAAGATAGAAAAAGTCGGTAAACAGAGAAGCGCGTGATTTCCGACGCAGACATAGGCGCGTGGAAGAGCGAATCGTTTGGGCATCACGGATCTCTCGCTTTTTTTTTCCCCTACGAGTATTTGTTTATTTTTGGCCTTTTTCTGGTTTTATCTATTCTTTTTCTTTTTTGGTAAAATTGGTTTTAAAATTTTAGATGTCGCTTTCTAATTTTTAAAGATATTAACTGATTTGAATTCGATTTTGAAGTCCGGTACGTTACAGGGATACACATGCTCGGTCAATTAGACTCTTGAGTCAATAGATTTTTTTTCTCCTAACGAAACAAATAAATAGTTCGAGCTTTTGTTATAGTTTTAGTTCTATCTGTTTTAAAAAATTTAAATATTTTGATTAAACACGCCAGATTGGAATTGTTTTTACCTTCTACATTTTATAAACAAAAAGTATCATTTAATTAAAAGCACTCAGTTAAAGCCAATGAGAGTGAATAGCATTTAATCTTTGCTTTTGAAACTTTCCTGTATAATTTTTCAAAAAAAAAAACTAAAAAAAAATTTTCAAAAAAAAAAAAATTTCCTGTATAATACTACTTTTAGTTATTATGTACTTAGATATTGGACAAAAACAAAACTTATTTGTTGAAATGAAGGAAGTTTAAATTTGGTATTAACATATTTTGAATACCTATTTGCTAGAATTTAGGATGACTAATATGTGATCGTGTAGAACACTCGAAGACTTTAACGTACGTACTTTAACAAACAAACAAAAAAACCAAAACTTTAACGTATGTACTATTTACCATTTTTTAACTCTTTTAAAAATATGTTATTCTATCTTTTTATATATTTTAATTCATAAATAACATAGAGAAGATTCAGAAAAATACCATTTAAAATACTATTCTCAAATATTATCATTTGTTGTCCATTTTCATCTGTTATAAAAAATGTAATAAAATGATATAAAATACTTATAGGTATATATGTCAATTATCAAATATAAAAGTATTGTGTCTTTTACTAAAAACGGTAAACTTGAAGTGTATTACACGTAATAAGTATGTGGAAACTTAGAAACAACTTATATGGTTTTGAGATGTTCATATTTTCATACCAGGATCTGTTGCTTACCGTTCTGACATAAACAAACATAAGCGAATACCAATTCACTATTAACATGTAAGTATAAGACTAATTAACTTTCGTCCAAGACAAAATACATGTATAAGATAAGATTAACATAAACAAAATATTTTATATTTGCATCCATGCAACTATGCAAGCATCAGATAGTTGGTTAGGATATTTCTCTAGGCTTTCCTTACCGTTCATATGCGAATGCTTCTCATAATAGATATTAGTGAGTGTTGTACCAGACTCGCGTCTATGTAGAAAATTTAGAAACGTTTCTAAATATTATTATGCCCTTAATGTCTCCAGATTAATTCCAAATATATAAAATATAATACTTTATTGCTTTTAAAGGTGTCTAAAAAAATAGAAACCAAATATGAATTAAAATTAGAAACTTATTATATAGATTGAGAAAATAGGGTAACTAAACCATCCATCTTAGTTACCTTAGCTTATGCTAATTTTTTAGAGATATTTTACTAATTTTTTATTTTATTTTCAATGACAACGGCTATAATTTTATATCTTTTTGATATGAATTGATGTTTTTTTAAATACCATCTTTAGTCTCTGTAAGTAACGCTTTAGTAGTGGTCACACGAGTCTCACACCATATAGCGTTTCATAACTTAAGTAAAATAAGATCTTATCCAATAAATTGCTTTGACTTTTGTAGGATTGGTCTTAAAACACATTTAAGACTAATCTTAAGAGTTAAGAAATACAGTTAAGATTTTACGAAATACGTCGGATGTAACTTGCACGATCATAAATATTATTCTATTTGTTTTAAAGAAAACGTTGTTTTAGAATTTTATTTTTATTTTATAAAAAATATCGTTTTATATTTCTAATGTAAATTTTTCAATAAAATCTAATTTTAATTTTATTATATTAATGTATTAATTAGAAAAAATTTGTTTAATATATCATAAAAAATTAGAAATTTTTTTACCAATTTTCTTAATTATGTGAAAAAGAGTAATAATTATGGTTTTTTTGTGAACGAATATAAATTATCGTTTTATTAAAAACTTAGGATTTTAATTCCTATACATATTCCAATATGCAGGAAAATTAATTTTAAGATCGAATAGGTTATGTATGCCTTATATATATATTATCATAGTAGTAAAAGAAGAGAAGTTCATCTAATTCTTTTTCAAAAATAACAAACCGACAAACAAACAAATAAAATCTACGTTTAAAAAATAGAAAAAACCTGAATTTTGTAAAACAAAAAGAGACGGTATAGGAAATATTTTTAAAAAAATATATAAAAATCTCGAGAAAAGAAAAAAATATGAAATCTTGAGGATGAGCGAAAACAAAGAACATGTAGAGTTGTAGTACGACAACACATCACGTGAGTAGATAAAGCAAATCAAGTACACACACTTCCCACCATGAATCACGCCGGCCCCACCATCCTTGATTACCATCACCGCTCGACATTTAATCGACTTAGTATAAGATTAGCAAGTAACCATTTGTTTTTTTTTTTGAACTTTTTCTTAAGTAACCATTTGTTTTTAAAGACAAATTACGATGAGAAGAAATATATGATTAATTGAATTTTACGTGGACTGAACTATAAATCTATATTTCAGTGATGCTAGGTTACTTAATTTGATTTTGTTTCGATTAGTTTATTTTGTCATCAAATAAATTCGGTTCATGAACCATTCTCATGAAAATGATTAAATGCATTTTAATCGAGTATGAGAGTCCACAAATTAGGCCCATGACAGGAAAGGTTTGAGATCAGCATCTATTATATATTGGATAGAAATCAATCAAATAATCAACATTATTATCTAGTTTTTATATATGAAAAACACATGTTACCAAATCGTTCTACGATATATAGCAGACATACAATATACATATTCTTGAGATGTTATATTATACATGTGTTAGAATATAAAAGAAAAAAAAACTTGCATTCACGGTCAATAAGAAGATTGCATTTTTATATTGACTGAACCTCAAACCAAATGTGTAAACATCAATCAGTTGATCAAAACCGTATTCTATTAATCGGCCAGATTATATATAACCACGACGATTTTAATAAAACTCGGTCGTCCAGTATTTCTTCGTATTTTCTTTTAATCTGATTAAATATTTGAAAAGTGGCTAAATATAAAATGGAAGAAACCAAAGATAAAAAAAAGTGAGAAAGAAAAATGTAAGATATAAACGATATTAAAATATGTAAGCGATTGACACTTTTATCTTGTACCATCTAATCATTAAGCTAATTAAATGAACTTCTAAAACTTTAGCTAAT